GCCCGCTTACAGGCTGCATAGGAGATTGACCCCACACAGGGAAAATGATGACTGTACTCCAGCCCTGCCCCAAAGCCACACAACTCAATCTGTCCCCTGTATGCCTCCCATGCCTCTGGAGTCATCATCCCTCCACTGGAGCCCAGAGTGAGTGCCTGCAAACATGAGAGTCTGTGCGGGCCACTTAAGAGGATGTCTGGATTTCCCACAGCCTTCCATCTCACCCTGATGGTCATAATCCCTACTGTTTTTCACAGCCAGATTTAGTGGGGGCTCCTCTTCTCAGCATTAGTACTCCAGGCTCGGGAGCCTGGTATGGGGGACGGGGATCCCTCGCTTCTTTGGGGGAACCTCTGTGGCAAAGATATTCCTCCCAGTTCTCAACTGCCGCATGGAGGTTTGGGGCCAGCTTGTTTCATGTCTCCACTCCTCCTACCAGTCTTGACATGGCTTCTTCCTTATAGTCTTAGTTATAAAGCTTCTGTTCAGCCAGACTTCAGATGGTTCTCCAGGTTGATTGTTCTGTAATTTAGTTGTAATTTTAATGTGTTCATGGAATGAAGCAGGCACAGTGTTTATCTACTCCGTCATCTTAGATCTCCTTTTTTCTTAATATAGATATGTATTACTATAAACTTCTCTCTTAGAATAGATTTTGCTGCATCTCGTAAGTTTTGGTATACTGTGTTTCCATTTTTTGTTTGTTTCAAGATATTTTTTATTTTCCTTTTGATTTCTTCTTGACCCATTGGTTGTGGAGATGTGTGTTGTTTAATTTCCACATACTTGTGAATTTTCCAGCTTTCCTCCTGCAATTGATTTTTTGATGTTACTTGGGTGCTTGAGAAGAATTTTATTTTGCTGCTATTGGATTAAATGTTATGTAATGTCTATTAGGTCCTTTGATCTAAAGTATAGTTTAATTCCAACATTTCCTTATTGATGCTTTGTCTGGATTATTTATCCATTGTTGAAAGTGAGGTGTTGATCACCCCTACTGATATTGTATTGTTGTCTATTTCTCTTTTGAGATCTATTAGTATTTGCTTAATATTATTTAGGTGTTTCAATGTTGAGTGCATATATATTCATGATAGTTACATCTTAACTGTTTATCATTATATAATGACTTTTTTTCTCTTGTTACAGTGTTTGTCTTAAACTCTTATTTTGTCTGATACAAGTATAGCTATCCCTGCTCTCTTTTGGTTTCTAGTTGCATAGACTATCTTTTTTTATCTCTTCACATTGAGCTTGTGTGTGTCCTTAAAGCTGCAATGAATCTCTTGCAGGCTCATATATTGGGTTGTTGGAAAAAGTCATGATGCATTTTTGTAACAAAAAACATAGAAAAAATACATCATGACTTTTCCAACAACCAACTGAGCCACTCGGTTGGCCCAGGATCCACCCCTCTTAACTGCCCTCGAGAGCACTGTCTGCTGTCCCTCCAGCCTCTTCCCATCCCGATATGGAGCTCAGAATTTGGTACTCTGAGTGGGGTGAGAGAAATGACCCTCTCTGGCAGTGTCCTAGACAGCGGGGAAGCTGGGTGCATATTCACTTGCTCTCATTTCCCCTGCAGGAGAGTCAGGGGCCCAAAAGATCTCTTTTGGCCCTGAACTGTACTGCCTTGGAGGAGGGATGATGGGGGAGAGTCGGACTGCCCCTCTTACCTTTAAGTGTGTCCAAACTTGCAGTTGTTTGCACCCACAGTGTTCTGAAACTTCTCTGCTGGAAACCTGGATGTCCACAAAGGCTCTCTTATCCATGGGTGATTGCCTAAGACATTTTCCCCAGGGGTTTCCAGGCTGTAGCCAAGAGGGCTAGAGCCATCCATGGACCAACCAGGGTCCACAGCCAGAATCAAGGTCTATATGCCTATCACCTGATGCACGGGTGGGTGATAGGAATTTGGTGTATGGTGCTTCATATCAAAGCTCTCCCCAAGACACTTTCGTCCGTGGATGGATGTCAAATTGTTGTTGTGGGAGGGACACCAACAAGGGGCATCTTATTCAGCCATGATGCTGACATCACTCCTGCTTTCGTGTTATTTCTCCTTGTGTTAGGGTCCATTAAGTCAGGTATGGAGATGAAGCTGGTCATGGGGTCGACAGTTTAGACTGAAAATGGTTTCATTGTTGTATCGCAGCCTTCTGTTCACTCATTTACCTTTATGTGTTTTTGAATAAAATATCAATGTGGACACCCACTGATTTTTTTTCACATTTTTCACAAACAGCAAGAGTAGTACTCTGTAGAAATAGAAAAGGTGAAATAAAAGAAAAGAAGGGCCACTTTGGAAATACCAAATATTCAAAGGAATTAATGGAATTTTCTCAGATTTGACATTTGGAAAATGTTTAATTCTAATTTTCTCTTATCCTACTGAAATCGCCTTTTTTTTTTTTTTTTAAGCTGAGCCATCCTGCTACCTGTTGGCAGCTCAGCGGCTGCTCAGCTCGGGCTGGACTTGAGCCGCTGTTGCTCAGAGCTCAAACTCTTGAGCGAGCTCTTAACCAACTGAGCCACTCGGCCGGCCCTGAAATTGCCTTTTTATTGTAGACTATTGCTATATAAAAAATATTAGCTTGAAAAGTATTAAATATAGTGGGCAAGTTCGGAAAAGGGGTATTTTTACTTGTTTTTTATGTATTGAAATCGTTATTTTGCTGAAGAATGAAATGGGAGTGTCACTGACCTAGCCCCTCAGTCGTTCCCATACTTGGCCATTTTCTTCATCTGTACTGGTTAGCGGCCCTTCCCGTGTAAAGAGATCGTATTATTTATATTGCTTAATTTTCTAACTATTTGAGTAGACATATAATCTTAAGGATCTATGAGGTTCTAAGAATCGAGTGATTTAGTAAGATTTTTAAAATTGTAGTTGTACCCCTACACCAAAAGCCCCCCAACTAGATTTTTTTGGAAAGGAAGAATGTTATTGCTAATGTAATAACATTAGCAAATGTTATTACACTTATAAATATCTGTACCTTTTGTTATAAATATGAAGCTATGATATTTTCTATTTCTGATATGTGAAAGAAGTGTTTATTTTTAAAACGGCAATACAAAGTGGAATGTTTAAACTGAAGAGACTATAGTCTGATATGTGTATATCTTTCAAAGCCAATAAGATTATGGTAGGTAAGAATGTTTCCCTTATACATGCAAACATTTTGCATTTGGCTGTTAACTCTGAATCTTTATTAATCTCAGTTATCATTTGTGAGTGGCTCATTCATAGACTTTGACTGTAATTAATGTTTTAAAATTATTTATAATTAACATTTTTAGTGATCAGTTGTTTGAAATTCTCACATGTAATTTTTAAACTTGGCTCTTTGATAATTGGGTTGTTCTGTTATTTGGTCTGGTAAACTGTTTACAAGTTGTGAGAATGAAGGCTGTATAGTCAAAATATATTCCTCCCACTCCTGACTTGCACTCATTGCTATTTCTAGAGACAACCAATGTTACTTAATTCTTATTGTCACCTGAATTAGAATATGGGCTTTCTAATTCTTAGAGTTTTGCTGGGTAAATGATTTTCAAAGCTCAAAGTATATTAAAGTTGAATTTTCATGAACTTCTTTGAAACAGTTGAGATGTCAAAGAACAGAATTAACATGGTTAAGATTTTGGGAGTGCAAATTTTAAAAGTTTAAACAATGATGTAGAGAAACGGCAGAAATCAACATAGAGGGCCTTTCTGCCAGTGCTGTATTTAGTCCCTCAGATAGGTCTGTACCATCAGTTAGTTCTGTGGCTGGATCCGACTAGAAACTAAACAGTCTGTGGCAGAGGACTGGTATTAGTTAACCCAGTTGAACAACTTTATTTGTACTATCTAAAAAGGTTACATGTCTGGGCTGGCCGAGTGGTTCAGTTGGTTAAGCACTTCCTCAAGAGTGCGAGCTCTGAGCAAAAGGGTCGCCGATTGGATTCCCAGCCCGAGCTGAGCTGCCACTGAGCTGCCAACATGTGGCAGGATGTCTCAGCTAAAAAATATATATATATAAAAAAAAAATAGAAAGGTTACATGTAAAAAAATTCTGCTATTTTCAGAAAATATCAGTTACATGATGTTTAACAAGAAAGTTTTAAGGAACTCTTTAATATCTTGTGTAGTAATATAGTTTTACTCTGAAAACTTAGTCTTGGGTCTGTGGTTGATATCTGGGGAATAGACCTATGTTGACAGGGAAAAGTGACAGGAAAAAAATAGACGTATTCATCTCAGATATATTTGCCATTTTGTTGGCCTGGCATTTGCCTGCCAAAGAACCTCTTTTGTCCTGCAGAAGGAAAAAGATTGAACTCAGTATATTGTAGAGCAGTTTTTGAGCACTGTTTCCTCACCAATCTTGTTTTGTTTTCTGTAGATGTAATTTTATTTTATTTTATTTTTAATTTAATTTAAAAATTTTTTAAAGTGACATGGACCTTTTTACATTTAGAATTGGATGTAAACATTTCTTCTCAGGATATCTGCTCAGGAGCGCTAATAATTTATGTCAATCTAATGTAGTGCTGCCCATTATGGGAGCCTCTAGCCACATGTGACTTTTAAAATGGAAATTAATTGATTTCAAATACTTACTAGCCAAAGTGGTTAGTGGCTACTGCATTGTACAGCAAGAATAGAATGCCTCCATCACTGCCCAAAAGTCTGTTGTAGTTTGGGCTACAGTATATGTAATTCAGGTTTGGTAGACTGAATGCCTAAAATTATCCCAACCCCTACCCCCACACCACTTCCTAATTTGCATGGTTTTGTGTTTTTATAAAAACTTCGTAACTTAACTTCACATTTACCCAGTAGGATATTAACTATGACATGTTTAAAAGGAAATTTGTGTAGTTATTTCTTGGTGACTATATTTCTGTTGATTTTTTGTGTGTGTGTGGAAAAAAATATATATGTATGAAAAATGTGCTTCGTTCCATTTTGAAGGACCAAAATGTGCTGTTTGTGGTCCCTTGTGTTTTAGGAAGCAAGGGCCTACTATGAGCAGACTGGAGTTGGCCTACTGCCTGTTGTTCTGTTCAACGGGATGCCCTTGGAAAAGGACCAGCTAGATCCTGATGAATTGGAAACCATCACAATGCACAAAATCCTGGAGACCACAACCTTCTTCCAGAGAGCAGTGTACTTGGTGAGTGGTCTTTGAAGGTTTACTTACATTTTTGTAGTCTCTGTAGTAGACAATAAAATTCGTTAAGTATCACTGTTTTCTGTAAACCACTCAGAATGATTTGCACACTCCCAGCAACTTCAACTGTAATGAAAATAGTCATGAGACTTTCTCTACATTGTTTTTGAAATAGCTAATTTTATTGGTTTCAGGATTACATTTTATTTTAAAAATGCTTAAGAAGTTAGCCATTCTAGGACACATTTGTTCTACTTGTAAGGAATTTTGACTTGGAAAAGGTTAAATTATTATATACAAATATGATTATTATTGAGATGTAACTCACATGCCATAAAACTCAACCTTTTAAAGTGGACTATTCAGTGGGTTTTAGTAAATACATGGAGTTATGCAGCTATTACCTCTGTGTAATTTCAGAACGTTATCATCACTCCCCCAATAAACCCGACCCCAGTAGGAGCTACTCTCCATTTTCCCATATCGAACCCACTGGCAACCACGAATCTGTTTTCTCTCTCTATGGGTTTGCCTGGCTTGGGCATTTTATATAAATAGAGTCATGCAATATGTGGCCTTCTGTGACTGATTTCTTTCATTCAGCATAACGTTTTCAAGGTTTATCCTTGTCGGAGTATGTGTCAGTACTTCATTCCTTTTCATGGCTAAATAACAGTCCCTTGAATGGATATAGCATATTTTATTTATCCATTCATCGGTTGTTTCCGCTTTTTGGCTACTAATGAATAATGCTGCTATAAAAAATTATGTATAAGTTGTACTGCATATATATCTAGTAGTAGAATTGCAGCTTGAGGAACTACCAGACTGTTTTCCAAAGCAGATGCACCATTCAACATTCCTACCAGCAGTGTACCCAGGCTCCACTTGTTTGGCATTCCAGCCAGCACTTATCTTGTCTGTCTCCTTAAATATAGCCTAGTGGGTGTGGTGTGTGTTTCACTGTGTTTGGATTTGTATTACTCAAACACAAATGCTGTTGAGCATTGTTTCCTGTGCTTATTGACCATTTATTTATATATTCTTTGGAGAAATGTCTATTCAAATGATTTGCCCATGTTTAACTGGGTTACTTGTTTTGTTAAATTGTTGAGCTGTAAGAATTATTTATGTATTCTGGATACTAATCACTTATATATTATTTTCAGATATTTTCTCGTATTTCATGATTTATCTTTTCACTATTTGGTGGGGTTCTTTAAAAGCTCAAATGTTTTTTTGTTTGTTTTTGTTTGTTTTTTTTAAGATTTTTATTGGGGAATTGTGGGATGGGAACAGCGCTGGGGAATCGGGGGAAGGGGAACAGACAAGTTGCTGTCCTTTTGTTCTTCAGTCTAGTTGTGGAGGACGTTGCTTCACTGGCCCAAGTTGGCTCCATCATTGCACTCTTCCTGGGCGAGGCACATCAGTCGCCGGCTTCTGGATGGCCGCTCACTGCGGCTGCTGGCCGCTCACGCTGGCTGCTGGCTACACACGGTAGCCCATGGCAACCCACTGCCACAGGGGCTGCAGCCTATGCCGTCGCAGGCAACCCATGGCAGCCCAGCTCCAGGTCGAGCTGTTGTTCAGCATCTTAGCTGTGGAGGGCAGTGTCACTGGCCCTCATATGTGGGATCCGAACCGGGGCCCTCTGGCGTCCCAAGCCAGTTCTTAACCATCGCGCCACTCGGCCGGCCCCTGTTGGTTGGTTTTATGTGTTGACTTAACTTTGAATTCCTGGGGTAAACTCCACTTTGTTATGGTGTATAATCCTTTTTATTAGCATTTATATAGTTGTTAAAGTTTTTATACCAACTTAATTTCAATAGTAGAGAAAAACTTTGCTCTTCTGTTGCTCTATTTAGCCCCTAATTTATGTTGTTATTGTCATACAGGTTACATCTTTTCATATAATATGCCAATCAGCATCGATTTATAACTGTTGCCTTATTTTATAGTTGTCTTTTAATTGAAGTAGAAAAAAAGAGTCATAGAGAAAAAAATATATTTATACTCTTTATATTTACCTATGTGTTTACCTTTACTCATGCTCTTAACTTTTTATGTAGATTTGAGTTAATTGTCTTGTGTTCTTTCATTTTAGCCTAAAGGAATCACCTTAGTATTTATAGGTTAGACCTGCCAGTGAGAAATTCTCTGTTTTTGTTTATCTGGGAATATGTTCATTTACCCTTAATTTTTGGACAATAATTTGCCTGGGTATGGAATTCTTGGTTGGCGGTCCTTTCGGCACTTTGAATATATAATTCCACTGCCTTTTGATTTCTGTGATTTCTCTTGAGAAATCAGCAGTTAATCCCACTGAGGATTGTGTCTATAGGATCGGGTGATAAGTCTCTTCTCTCTCCCTGTTTTCATGATCCTCTCTTTGGTTGATTTCAGCATCTTTCAGGATCCCCTTTCACTTTGGACACTTCATAATTATGTCTAGGTGTGGAACTCTGAGTTTTTCCTCCTTGGAATACATTTCCTCCCTCCCTCCTTCCCTTCCTTCCTTCCTTCCTTCCTTCCTTCCTTCCTTCCTTCCTTCCTTCCTTCCTTCCTTCCTCTTTCTTTTTTTCTTTTACAAGAAACTGCAGTTAACCCTTGAGCAATGCAGGTGTTAGGTGTGCTGACCTCCTATGCAGTAAAAAATCCACATATAAATTTTGACTCCCCAAAACTTACTACTAATAGTCTATTTTGCCTGGAAACCTTACCAATAACATAAACAGTTGGTTAACACATATTTTGTATGTTGTATGTATTATTTACTGTATTCTTATAATAAAGTAAGCTAGAGAAAAAATGTTATTAAGAAAATCATAAGCAAGAGAAAATACATTTACAGTATTTATTGAAAAGGAAACCACATATAAGTGGACCTGTGTAGTTCAAACCTGTTTTATTCAAGGGTTAACTGTACACATGTTTCTATAATATGAGAGGTATAATACAAAAGGGAAGAATAAGTGATAAATGATTTCTCATTCCCCTAGTGTAATTGTGACTCTGGAAATGTAGGGTTACTTGGATTCCTGATACTGAAAAACGCTTGGGTTGATTTTTTGTAACAAAGTATATTAACTGCTTGACAGAATGCATTTGGCTTTCTTCTTTGGAGAGAAGCCAACAATAATAAGCAGAATTCAGAATGGATTTCTGTTTGTGTTAACTCTTAACTAGTTTGTAGAGCTTGCTTTTTTCTGGGGAAGCACAGTGGTATGTGGAGAGATCAGATGCACCTGGATTTGCATTTCTTACTCACGTATCATCAGCTCTGTGACTTTGAGTCAGCTATACTATAACCTTTCTGTGCCACAGCTTCCTCATCTTTAAACTGGATGTTAGTAACATCTGCCTCACGTTGTTGAAAGAGTTAGTGATACTGTTCATAATGTACCAAGCTGTGCTTGGCAATAGTGGGATCTGGAACGTGGCAACTGCTGTTCTTAGCTGTTATGAGGACATAAGAAGATATTATAAAGTTAATGATTTCTTAGTTTCTCATAAATGATTTTTGATCACATTTGTTTAACACTTATCCAACTCTGTCTTGTTTCTTTTTTCAGGGTGAACTGTCCCATGACCAAGATGTGGTAGAGTATATTATGAATCAGCCAAATGTTGTTCCACGAATCAATTCTAGGATTTTGACAGCTGAGCGAGAATACCTGGACTTAACAACGACCAGTAAGAAGTGTTTCACGTACAACTTTGGGTTGTTTTTGGTTTGTCCTTCAGAATCTTTGCATTTACTGGGTTTTCCTATTCAGAAAATAACCCAAGTTTGTGACACAATTTTATGTTTAAACTCATTGCACCTTGAGTTTATAATACATGCTTCTAAATTCACAGGAGTTTCCTCCAAAAGGAGAGAAATTCTTCCTGGATAAACTTTGAAAAATATTCAGTGCCTTTTAAATGCCAACTAAATCGACATTAAATGATAAAACATATCTGTATTGTTGACTTTCTTAGTCATAAAGCTCTTAAGCAGTTATCTTTTCTTCATCCTCCTGGAATCAGGCAGCAATAATGTCAACAGATAGGTAGTTTTACTCTGAGAACATAAGCATGCCTTTCTAAAAAATAAAGCTTAATTAAGGAATAGTGCCATGCCATAAAATAGTCTATTAAAAGTGTATACTTTTAAAGTGTATATTTTTTAAGTTGTGCGATCATTACCACTATCTAATTTTAGAATATTAACATCACCCCAAAAGAAATGATGTATCCATTAGTAGTCATTTCTCTTTTCTCCTATCCTTCAGCAACCACTAATCTAGTTTCTGTTTCTGTGGATTTTTCTATTCTGGATATTTCATATAATGAGAAGTATTTGGGACTGGCTTCTTTTATTTAGCAGAATGTTTTTCAGGTTCATCCATGTTGTAGCTTGTCCCAGCACTTCATGCATCTTTATGGCTGATTAGTATTCCACTCTATAGATATTGCACAGTTGCTTATCTGTTCCTCAGTTGATGGATCCCTGGGTTGTTTCAACAGAAATACCGTTTAAGAGGTAGATATGTTAAGCCCAGATGCAGTTTGTTCCTTTTGCGTTCCACTGAGATTCTGAAGGCCACTTTAGCAAACAACTGGAAATAAGATAGAGCTTTCATCATTTGCCCAAGAAAACCTCACTGGAGGAGAAAAGATAATGTGTGCTGGCGAAGCCAAAACTAAGTGGATTTGTTGTTGTAGTTGAGAATGATGAATATATAGGTCTGTTTATGGTTGTTACTTTATGGCAACTATCTCTAAATTAACTTGAAACTGAATTCCTTTTCTTGTAGGCACAGGAAAATGCACATATATGTTTATACTTGAAAAAGAAAGTAGAACTGAACTGCAATTCTTTCTTCACAGCCTGGTTTAACTTTTCTCCAGGCAGATAGTGTTATGAGTCTGTGTCCTGAGTGTTTGTTGTTTTCATTTAAATTAACTGTGAATGGTTATCTTTGGAGTACGCATGAATAAGGAGCACAGGAACAGTTTTGTGTGTTGGATGCCTTTCTCCACTGAGCACCGCGGTCATTGCTATGAAATGTGCTAGTCCACGGTGCCAGAACTGCAGTCTGCCGCTGAGCGTTGGGAATCTCAGAGAGGGAGCAGCGGGTACTCTCTGGGCCCAGAGGTCATAGCTCCACCCCACGCTGCTCTGGTCCTTGCTGTCCTGGGGCGTTTTTAGACGGTAGTACTGTTTAAAGGCTATGCTGTGTCCTCTCCACCCACGCATGATGGCATAGGCTGGGTCCATCCGATTTACTGGTGCTTTCCTTTACCAGACTGTTGACTGAACGGACAGTAGGCCCTTCGTGTGCCTTGGTGAATGAAAGGCTAGGTGGGTGAGTGGGTGAACAGACAGATGGGAGTGGGGCAAGCAAGCTGAACTGGGAGGACAGTCAGAGAAAAATGGCGTCTGGGTTGGGGTGTAATAATGCGTAAGACTGGCGACATTACTGGAGACAGGGCGCTTATGGTACGAGGCCAGAGACCATTTTGTAAGTAGGAAGAAATTACTGGGGAGTTTAGAGCAAGGGAGTAACTTGATGAACTGGAATTTTAGTGAGAGTAACCTGAGGGCAAAATGAATAATTAGAGCATTGCCAGTGGGCGCTAATCAGAGAAGACACATATCTGAAAATGACTTTTTGTTTCTGTTAGGGCTAAACACATATTGTGACACATGAAAAACCAAAGTGAGAGTTTTCTTATATTTTTTTCCTCCCATTCATTCCACTCCTTCCCTCTCCCCCCCAACAGGATAGGGGAGAGTTTACTGTGGTGGATGGACAGGAGGGAGAGATGAAGTTAAGGGCATCTCTTTAAGAGATCATTCTCTAGTTGTACAGTGATAGAAGTGGGAATAGGATAAATTTAAACCATCAAAATGACACATATGTTACATATATGAGTTATATGAAATACATACAGTTTTATTAACTTGGTGTCTTACAACGTGATAAATGGGATGGAGTCAGTGGGGGAAAAAGTTGTTCAGTAAACATGAAACTATTTCACTCATGCATTTTTACAAAACTTGTATTATGGTTATATCAGATTACCAGTTGAATATTAATTAACATTAGTTTGATTTTAGGGATATTAATTACAAATCTACTTTAATTTGTTTTCCAGATAACTTTTTTGTGGATGATTATGCTAGATTTACTACCTTGGATTTCCAAGGCAAGACTGCTGCGATAGCCAATAGTATGAACTATCTGACAAAGAAAGGTAATACATTCCAGGCTTATCTTGGATTCAACATTTTTTTTTTTTAAATATTTGCAAAAAATTTAATTGTTAGTGTCTGTTGGGAGACAGGCTCCATAATTTATTTTATTCTTATAATGATTTGAGTGTAGAAAATATCTATTTAAAATTTAATTCTTTATATGTTTTTGAAAATTTAAATGTTGTCTTTATCAATTTTATATTAAATATTAAAGTCAAGGGAAAAGTTTTTTATGGTTCAAAATGGGAAAACATTTATGATGTAAAAATGGGTCAATGGATTGAAAATTGGCTTGACTTGCCTTTTCAATAACAACATAGGGTTGGTTTTTTTGAGATAAAGTTGGTTCTAGAAATACTTGTGTAAATTTTAAAACTGATTTTCTTGTAGAGTTATTTATTTAGACTAAGATTGTGTGAAATGATATCGTTTTAATGGCAGACAGATGCTTTTCCCCTCTGGTCGCACATAGTACCCTTTCAAAGCACTGATTGTCATTTAAGGTAGATGTTTTCATCCCCACTGTAATCTCCCAGAAAGAATTTCTGGTTTCCCATATACAGAGGGTGCCAAAAAAATGTATACACATTTTAAGAAAGGAAAGGAAAAAACTGTATTAAAATTATGCTGATGATAATCATAATCACTTTGAGCACCTCTTGTGGTTGCAGAAGTCAAACGTGACTTGTATTCATCTTTTGTTATCGGTATATATTATTACAATTTTAATAGTTTTTTCCTTTCTAACAATGTGTCTGCATTTTTTTTTTTTGGCACTTTTTGTGTATGTAAGTACGGTCAATTACTCCATTTGACCCCTCAAAGAAGTTGGCCCTGAGGGGCATTGGGACAGTGCTAATATTAGTGGGCTAAGGAGCTCACAGGAGCTCCTGTTAGGTGTTATTAGAATCTGACTCTGGTAGTAGACAATAATTACAGAAATGACATTTTCTTCTCTTCTGCTCTTTTTCCTTTACCTTTTTCAGGAATGTCTTCCAAGGAAATCTATGGTAACTTTAAATATCAGAATGTTCTGTTCTTTTTCTTAATTATCTTATTTCAGGCACTGTTATAATTCAGAATTTTTTGACCCTTTATTGGGTTGTTTCTGGAACCTGTGGGTAACAGTAGATAATTTATCCATGCAGATAAATTTTGTATAAATGTTTGCAAAGAATTATATTTCAGAAAGTTACAAATTAATATAATTAAAGACTATGTTACCCACACGTTCAGAGGCTCTTTTTCATTTTACATGCTAACAGCTGCCCAAACCATAATAGAATTAATATATTAATATGTGCATGTTCCTGGTTTATAATTAAGCCACATGGAAGGTTACCCTACTTTCTTTCTAGTATCGAAGTTTCACTACTTCTGCTTTGTATCCTTATTAACCTGTCATTTTTCATTTTTTGCATGGTTTTCAGAGATTATTTAGCTTAATAACAGTATTGAAACATACTTGTAGAATGTGCTTCTTCCCTCCAACTCAATATGTTGTTTTGTTTTTCTACAGATGATTCTTTTATTAGGCCAGTAACTTTTTGGATTGTTGGGGATTTTGATAGCCCTTCTGGAAGGCAATTATTGTATGATGCTATTAAACATCAGGCAAGTGTCTACAACTTCATTCTGTATCTTTGTTTGAGTCTGCCATTTTGCACATGAGCATCTGTGTGCCGACACGCTTGTTCTGGTGGGGAGACCCGAGTCCTTCTGTCTTAGTGCTTGAGGGAAAAGGGCATTGTTTTTTCAGAGGTCTGTAGCTAGTATGTAAACAGAGAAGACTGCAATATTCTAGCTTTGTTTAAGGGAGTAGATTCTTTTAGAGGGAAAAATAGGAGATGTTCATCAGAGACAGGTTTTTATTGTATGACTGCTTGTGTTCTAGCTGCAGAGATGCTATGAAGATTGTGTTGGTATTGTACAGGAGAGACAGGTGCCTTACGCTGAGGGGATCCGGGTGTGGGGACACTGTGAACGCACGTTGATAGCGATAGATCTGGGCACACAGGGATGCACACACAGGCATTCTAACAGACGTGCAGTGCAGATTGTAGAACTTGAGTGGATGACAATGCTGAATGGTTGACAAGACACTGACTCCTTTAGAGAATGTCATTGTCAGAGAATGAGATGTTTCATTCCTTTTAATGAGCATTTCCGCATTTCACTCCCCTCTCGTGTCTCTTTGGCACCCTGTGTCCCACAGGGAGGCTTTCTGAAATATCCAGGCGATTTCAACTTCACTAACAAGCTGCATGCCTTATTGTCTGAGGAAACAGCCTACATGCTGTGGTGAATTCAAAGTTAAATCTGGGGTAGTTGTAGTGAAGGATGGTAGGTATATGTACTAGGCACTCTAAAATTGATAAATGCTCAAGTGGTGGGAGAGTGGGAGAACAAGAGAGGGAGAATTGAATATTTTAAGTATTATAAATATTTTCATGGAAGTAAAATATAGGTACAAAAGAAGTGCACAGATCATAGGGTACATAGTGTCCCAAAGTGAACACACCCATGTGACCACCTTCCAGGTAAAGAGACGTCTCAGGTTCCTGAAAACCCTCCCTGCTTGTGGCCCCATCATTCCCCTGCCTTTTCCCTCTTTTTATGTCATAGCATATACCTGTTTATTATGTTATTTAAATGGACTCTAATACTATATATTTGTTTGTGTTTAGTTTCTTTACTCAACGTTTTTTGAGATTTATCCATGATATTACAAATAGTGGTAGTTAGTTCTTTTTCATTATGTGGTATTGTATCATGGCTATACCACAAAGCTCTGTTTGTTTGTTTAGTATATTTGATAGACAATTGGGTTGTTTCTAGTTTGGGGCTATTATAAGAATATTCTTGCACATGTCTTTAGATATATATAAGTATGAATTTCTGTTGCTTAATGATCTTGATACGAGCCCTTTTTTGTTTTTTTGGGTCCCACATATCTTCTCCCACCTGGGCTCTTGTCTTTTTACCCAGGAAGAGATTAATTGCTGCTAGAAATCTAGAAAGGCCATGTGAATGAAAAAGTGTTTGAGCAGAGCCCTGAAGAGTGGTTGGGACTTAAGGAAGCAAAGATGGGTGTATGTGTTGTTCACATGCCAATGTGAGGCATGATGTGTCTTAGAAGAACACAAAGTGTGGGGGGCGGGAGGAGTAGTTTAGGACTCTGATGGTGTATTTACAGGGATGATAAGAAATGAAGTGGAAAAGGTAGGCTGGGGGTCAATTCATGTAAGGGTTTGAATGCCTGCTTATAGCATTTTAATTTCATTCTGTATGCAGAGGAGAACTAAAAACTTTTTAAGGGAGGTATTACTTGCTATTTATGGAATATTACTAATATTAATGCTGCTTTTTAAGTTCAAAACATCTACCATATAACCCTTGTTTCCCATTTTGTAAATAGAAATCCAGTAACAATGTTAGAATAAGTGTGATCAATAATCCTAGTGAAGATGTAAGTTATGAGAACACTCAGATCTCCAGAGCAATCTGGGCAGCTCTCCAAACGCAGACCTCCAGTTCTGCTAAGAATTTCATCACCAAAATGGCCAAGGAGGAGACTGCGGAGGCCTTGGCGGCAGGCGCGGACATGGGGCAGTTCTCCGTCGGGGTGAGTCTGTGCCTGCGTGAGGCCCCTCCCTGCTATCTACCATGGAAGTCCACTCCCAGGACAGACACCTTGTTCATTGTGATCAGGACTTGTGGTTTTAGTTTGGAGTCTCAGGGTTTCTTGTTTTTAAGTTGGAAGAGTCTTTCCAAGAAATAACAATTCTGCCACATTCCCTTTATTGCTTTTAAATTTGCTAGATTTCAAGATGTGCATGATATAAGTTCATGTATGTTATAAGCACAAAACCATTTGTTTTGCATAGTTTTTAAAAGACAATCTTTGATTTGTTTATAGAGCAAAAAACCGAGACTTAAGCCACTTAATGAATTACAGGCTTATGTCTTGATGTATTTCCAATATAAGCCTATGTTTATTCATTTATATGTTACATACTTTTTACTAAGTGTTTTGTAGTTTTAAAATTTCTTATAAAATGATGTTTCAGTTAGAAAAAAGGCTCTCACATGAAATTAGCAAGATTTTAAAATGCAGAATAAAACACTAGATCAGTTGATCTATCCAATTGATCAATCACATATTAGAATGGGAAAAGGAAATAAGCATTACTTGATAAGTGGGAGGGTGGGAAAATGGGAAGGAGAATGGTGACATCATAATGTTAATTATTCAAATTAGTTATTACCTTCCACTAAATGAGCATTTTATGATTATTCATTTGTATGGTTTAATAACAATTACTTTTCCTTAATAACAATTACTTTCCTAGGGCATGGATTTCAGTCTTTTTAAAGAGGTCTTTGAGTCTTCCAAAATGGATTTCATTTTGTCTCATGCCATGTACTGCAGGGATGTCCTGAAGCTGAAGAAGGGACAGAGGGCAGTCATCAGCAATGGAAGGGTGAGGATTTTGTCCTGAGACAAGCTTGACTTCAAATTAGATCAGTGAACAGTCTTGGCAGCATTCTCCTGGGAAGCTAGTAAGCTCTTCCAACAGAGTCACTCTTTTTCCACAGGTGATTAGGGCTTATGCAGTGCTGATGATATTTCTGCTACCTTATTTCAAAGGGAGCTTGCTGCTTTTGACCTGAACGTCCTTGTGTGGAACCTTCTTGCTGGTTAATTTGTCCCACCATTGTGCATGGTGGTGAGACTGTGGTGGCTTTCAGAACATAAACCAGTGAGGCCTTTGATACATTAAGTATTCATCCCTTCAGGGACTATATTTTTACTTTGTGTAGTCCATAGGAATTTAATCGGCTTAGGCTTAGACTGTTTCATGAGATCTGCAGCTACTGAAATGGGACTCTGGTGAACATACCAAACTTTAAACCCTCAGCGTGGAGAGTAAAGTCTCTGGTGTCTACACTACATCTCCATTTTGGCTTATTTATTTATACTCTGTGAGAATTAATGAATGATATTATTTTACTTCCAAGTTTGCTTACTGTAAAAATATTGTAAAGTATACAAGTCCATATTCTGTGTACTTGAGGAATTGATAAGTAAGTAACTATATGAGTTGATTGGGGTTTTGTTTTCACTTTTGTTCCTTGACTTTGTTCAAATGGAAACATGCCTGGGGTCTTTCACGTGATTTGCTTTGTAAGATAGCCTGAGGGCAACAGAAGACTTCTTTATAGCTTGTGGATTCCCGCCATGACCACTCTGCTCTTCTTCACAGATCATTGGGCCACTGGAGAATAGTGAACTCTTTAATCAAGATGATTTCCACCTCCTAGAAAATATCATCTTAAGAACTTCAGCACAGAAAATCAAATCTCATATTCAGCAGCTTCGGGTAGAAGAAGATGTGTAAGTTTGCATAGAAGTTAATTTGCTCATGTCGTAGGGGCTGTATTAATTGGACTTTCCTCATGCTACCTATACCAAGATGTTTTATTTCCAGCTTTACAATATAATAATGCTTTCAATTCAAGTGTTTGCTTATGTACCTGTTGAAACAAGTTAATTTATTTTGTAGCCAGCTATTTAAAGAACTGAAGAAGTTCTCTTTATTGTTTTTTTTGTTTGTTTGTTTTTTGGTTTTTTTTTAGCTGAGCCATCCTGCCACCTGTTGGTAGCTCAGCGGCAGCTCAGCTAGGGCCAGACTCGAACCGCTGTTGCTCAGAATTCAAACCCTTGAACGAGCTCTTAACCAACTGAGCCACTCAGCTGGCCCAAGTTCTCTTTGTTTTTATTTTTGAATTTTTGATTGTGGAAAATTTCAAACATATGCAAAAGTAGAGTGGTGAGTTTATTTATTACCTTGGAATACTTGCGTGTAGAAATGCTTCCCTTATTATATCTTTAATTACCCGTCAGGTGTATTTTGTTCAGGAAGGGACAGGTTAAATGCTTCTTTTCCTGTATTTACCAGTATGGAATAATGGCTTGTTTCTCTTGCATCCTCCAAAGGTGATGATGAGTTGGTTACTGTTGGTTTTTAATTTAATTCTTCCAGTGTTATTATTAACTAATGCATTTTAATGAGTTATTTCTCAATGGAAGAAAATAAATTATTTGGTCTATGTACGTTGTTGTATAACTGGAGCCTCTAGTCGTATACACATAGTTCCTGCACTAAATATAAAATGAACATGTACTTGGGGATATACTTTTATGTTTAATTTTTTGAGAAACCATCATATCTTTTCCACAGAGTCTGTACCATTTTACTTAGCACCAGTAATGCATAAGGGTTTCAATTTCTCCACGTCCTCACCAACGCTTGTTAAACTTTTGTGGGTTTTTTTTAATACTCATTCTAATGGGTATGAAGTGGTATCTCTTTGTGGTTTGACTTTTACTTCCCTAATGATTAGGATGTTGAACATCTTTTCATGTGCTTATTGGCCATTTGTATATCTTTGGAAAAATGACTATCCAAGTCCTTTGCTTCTTTGCTTATTTTCATTTATTTATTTATTTATTTTTTAAATGCTCCTTCAGCTATTTGTCCTTGCTCCCATTACTGCATTGCTTTTATTATTATTATTATTATTATTATTATTATTATTATTATTTTAATTTTATTGGGGAACAGTGTGTTTTTCTAGGACCCATCAGCTCCAAGTCAAGTCGTTTCAATCTAGTTGTGGAGGGCACAGCTCAGCTGCAAGTCAAGTCTCCATGTTCAATCTAGTTGTGGGGGGTGCAGCCTCCCATCCCATGCAGGAGTCGAACTGGCAACCTTGTTGTTAAGAGCATGTGCTCTAACCAACTGAGCCATCCAGCTGCCCACTGGCAGCTCAGCTCAAGTCGTTGTCTCCAATCTGTTGGGTTGTCGGAAAAGTCATGACACATTTTTGCAACGAAAAACATGGAAAATATATGTCATGACTTTTCCAACAACCCAATACTTGCAGAGGGCGCAGTTCACTGGCCATGTGGAATTTGAATCGGCAACCCTGCTGCTCAGAGCTCACGCTGTAACCAACTGAGCCATCTGGCCGTCCCCCCTTTCCTTATTTTTAATTGTTTATTTTGTTGTTGAGTTGTCGGAGTTCTTTATATATTCTGGATAGCAATCCCCTCATACATATGTGATATGCAAATATTTTCTCCCACTCTGTGGGTTGCCTTTTCACTATCTTGATAGGGTTCTGTCATGCATAGTGGAGAATATACAATTTAAAAGTTCTTACGGTTTTTTTTAGTTTTTTTTAAAGATTTTATTGGGGAATTGGGGGAGGGGAACAGCGTTGGGGAATTGGGGAAGGGGAACAGACAAGTTGCTGTCCTTTTTGTTCTTTAGTCTAGTTGCAGAGGACATCGATTCACTGGCCCATGTTGGTATTATCATTGCGCTCTTCCCGGGTAAGGCAGTTGCTTGCCGGCCATTGTTCGGCCGCTCACAGGGGCTCTTGGCAGCTCACGCCGGCTGCCAGCCACACACAGTAGCTCATGGCAGCCCACTGCAGCAGGGGCTGCAGCCTACGCTGTGGCAGGCGACTTATGGCAGCCCAGCTCCAGGTCGAACTGTTGTTCACCATCTTAGCTGTAGAGGGCACAGCATCACTGGCCCTCATGTGGGATCTGAACCAGGGTCCTGCTGCTCAGAGCTAGTGTCCCAAGCCAGCGCTTAACCAGCGCACCACTCGGCCGGCCTTTTATGGTTTTTTTCTTCATTTATTTCATATACCATCATGCTGCAGAGTTTAAGATGCGTGTCTTAGTGAAGTGTTGACTTCAGTAGCTGCCAAAGTAGTCCCTTTGCAGTCTTGTGTGATATGGGAAGGAGTCTTTTTTCCCTACAGGTAAGAGGTTCTCTCTTACCTCAGTGGCTCTTGAGTGATGCCCCTTGTTCTGGCCTATGAAACTCTTCCCTGAGGCAGGCCAGGAGGTACCCCATAACTTGAAGCCACCATGTCACGAGCATAGCCTTGGAGTTGTGTACCCTTGGATCACTCTCTCTCTCGATGGAGGTTCGAGGGGTGGGTGCTTGAGTCTTTGTGGACTAGTATATAATTGCCAGACTGTGCACGAAAGACTTGCCTTCTATCAATTAGACATGGCTCTGGGTCTGTCCTGGGTGAATTCAGGGAAATAAGGTAATCATGGGGCTGCCAAACGACTGATTCTAAAACTGTTAGGTTCTCAGAATCACCTTGCCTGCCTAGGGCCTTCACTAATGACAACTGCTACATCGTGGAATGCACCCCCTCCCCTGTCACAGCTACAGCTTTCAACATGACCCAGACCCGCAGCCATGAGGCTGGCCTCAGCTTTCTGAAGCTCAGCTGTGGGTTCTTTGATTGTGGTGCTTCCTGAGCATTTATAAAGTTTCTTGTTGACCTGATTAGCTCAGTTCATATAACCAAGTGTCACTTTACAAGTTTTGTGACAATGTCGACACATCACAGGAAACAAATGGCCTGTTTTCTGTTTTCAGAGTTAGTATTAAGAAGTATCAAAAGAGGTAATTTGATATATTGGGTTGTCGGCAAAGTCATGACATATTTTTTTCTATGTTTTTTATTGCAAAAATGCGTCATGACTTTTCCGACAACCCAATAGTTGTTTGGCTTACTGAGAAAATGTATAGGCTTGATTCTAGTTCAAATATTATTCACAAGTGCTCTTTTAGAATTCTTAGAGTTTAGTCCTTGGTTCAATAGATTATAGCACCTTTTTTTTTTAAATCTCATGATTTAATTCAAGACCTTTCTTGGTTAAAAATCAATTTAAGAAGGGGCCATGATGCCAGTGTTGATTGATTATAATAGTGAATTAGGGAACAACCTAGACATTCAATAGCTGGTTGGTTTAATAGATTATGATGTATCCATAAATATATCATGTAGTCAATGAAAATATTAATGGGCCCTTGTATTTCTTAACCAACAAAATGTGTTTATAATATATTGTTAAATGAAAAAACAGGTTACTAGATAATATAATCCCATATTTGTGTGTATGTGTGTATTATATACATAATATATATATGTCTTTATTTATGTATATTGGGGGTGCCAAAAAAATGTATACAAGTGGACACTTTGGTCAACATTACTCAAGTAGTAGTTTGACATAATCAGAAGTGTCTGGATGCTGATGGTAACCACTTTGAGCATCTCTTGTAATTGCAGAAGTCAATTGTGACTTGTATTCATCTTTTGTTATCGGTATATATTGAGTATTACAATTTTAATACAGTTTCCCTTTCTTAAAATGTGTATACACTTTTTTGGCACCCTCTGTAAATTTATTTATTTATTTATATCTATTAAAATATTTATTTATTTATTTATTTAAAAGTATAGACAAATTATGAACCACAATGTCTTAGTGCTAATTTCTTTTTTTTTTAAGATTTTTTTTTTTAAATTGGGGAATTGGGGGATGGGAACAGCGCTGGGGAATTGGGGGAAGGGGAACAGACAAGTTGCTGT